GTTGCTGTGTAAAGATTGTTTTCACATTTGCTTTTTACAAAAAAAAAAGTACTTTAAATAAGTAGCGCAAATCACTGCCGCCCATCACATATCGCATTTTGTTAAAATTATTTTAGGTATTAAAAATCCGAAAATCTGTTTTCATTCTCGTTCTCTCACTCTTAAAATCACAATAAATAACAACAATGTGTATTTGAAAATATTTCATTTAAAATTTTTCATAAATAACACTTGGTACTCGTACATTTATTTAACAAAATTTCAATGAACTTTTATTAGTTTATTTATTAAAATTTCAAAAGTTAATTTTAAATATAAATCATGAAAAGCATTTATTTAATAAAAAAGAAAAATAGTATGTCATTGAACTTTTAATACACAAATAATATTTTATATTGAAATTTTTTGTTTTCATCAGGAAATTATTCATTTTTTCGGTATGTATGTATAAATGCAAGTATGTTTAGATTTGTAAAACTGGGGTAATAGTGCACAACAACCACGCACAAGAATCTATCGTATCGCAAATCTTAGATCCTATGAACAAGTGCACTTTGTAAAACTCGTAAAACAGCATTTCAGCTGTAGTGACAGTAAAGTTCACAATTTTTGATATACATATCATATATGTAAGTATAGCTACAAAATTTTTGAGAGCAACTTAAGTTGAATTATTTGTTAATAGTTTTTTATGAAATTTCATTCTAACATGTTCGATATCATACAAAACTGTCGTATCATACAATATAATTCATTTTTTTTTAAAAAATTTATCGTATGAATTATTGTAAGTATTTTTAATTTTGTCTTCTTCATAATACCTTTAAAATAATTTTAATCTATTCTTGGTTAATAAATTTATTCGATTACGTCAATTACGTAATAAATAATTTTATGTGTATTTGATAAACGTCAACTTTGTAAGTCATAATACTGTCAATTAAATTGCTACAAACATTTACTTATATATCTAAGCCAAATTTGCTGTTTTCGAATTGTTTTTCTACGATTTATTTCTATCGAACGTGATTTAAATAAAATTTTTCATAAAATTATTTTTTCTTTCTTTTTAAATTAATAATGTATAAGTAAGTACATACTTTTAAATACGTTTAATTGAGTATTAGTCATTGTTAATTAAATCTATTCGAGCAAATGTATTACAGAAAAATCATATTGGTATTTTCATAAATCTGTACATGTAAGCCTTAATAAAATTTATAAAAATACCAACGTTCTTTGTAAATTCTCTATTTTATATATTAAATTTGTTTATTAATAGCTTAGAAAAATTAATAATAATTGCTTATAAATTATTGAGTAAGTATTATTAAGTAAGTGTGTAAGTTCTAGGTATTTATTTAAAAATTATTTTAAATAGAATTGATTTTAAAAAAGAGCTTTCAACAAAAAAAAAAATATTAAAATAGTAAACGAGTACAACGATTACAGAATTATAATGGAGTTTCTTGAAATACAATATTAAGAATGGCTCATCTATTTTTGGTAGTTAAACCATAATAATCAATGGTTAAATACGCATACATATTACTGTTTTGGTACGAACCACTATTATTTGATTGTGACTACAAAATTTTACACCCACATAAACGCACTATATTAAAAGTTTAAAATCATTTGATTATATCATCCGGTGAATATCAAATTGAGAGGATAATAATATATTTTAGGTTTGTGTATTTTATTGTGACATTGAAAAATTGATATATTTTTAAAAATTTTCAACCAAGTACCATATAGGAAGCCTTACTTGTAATTAGTCTTGAAATTTACCAGTAAATTAATAAAATGTTAATTTGACATTACTCGCAACAGATTCTCAACTTTTAATTCCTAGTATTTGTTTTTGGAAAAATCAAATTATGTTTTTCATTTTTTCCTTGTTTCTGATGTTTTATACAAGATTTGCATTGTCAAAAATAGATGGCATTGCAACTCGATTTCGGTTGGGTATGTCGAAGCGGCAATATACGAAGCAATATTGAATGTCGGAGAAATCGTTAATAAAATGACTTTATTTCTAAAATTTGTAAATGGTGATGCTTTTTTAAGGCTAATAATTTACTTATTTCACATCTACATAAGTAAGCCATTTTGATTAAATTCTAATATACTTTATGAATAAAAATCTCAACACAATTTATGTAAATGAGTATAATTTTCGTTATAACCATACATACATATGGAAAACTACTCTCAATGATAAAAACAAAAAATTTCGAATTCAATGATAAAATAAAGGAAATTCACAAGAGAATAATTTTTCTCTTCTTTTGTTTTTCTTTTTATTTTTTTTAATATCCTTTTAAAAAAAATTATAAATAAAAATACAAAATAACATTAAAAAATTTTCTAAAAACAATAACAAAGGAAATTTTTTGTTTTATTTTATTTTATTTTTCAAGGTTCTTGCACATACGTATATACACTAGTGTTATGGCACTTATAGCACGTAAATATAAAAATATACAGTATGAGTATTTAAGTATATAATGAGTTTTTGTTTGTATGTAAGTGTGTGTATTAAAATGTTGAAGAATATATAAGTGTGTATGTATATAAATATATGAAAAATATTAACCTTGAATAGAAATTAAAGGAAGGATACAAAGTCAATGAGGTAAAATTAATTTTAAAAAACAAATTTATTATATTAAATAGGCTTTCACGTACATATAAATATAATATATATATGAGTGTGTCGATGGGGTGAAAATTTTAAATTGGTATGATGAATTCATTCATAATTCACGCTTTCAATAAAGTAAAAATAGTAACAATTTCGGATATAACTCCGGGCATAAAAAAAAGTAAGTTAAATGCAAATGTAATAAAAAAAAATTGGGTTGCTTAGTCCTTGTGTTTCAAACTAATTTGAAAATTTTTGTTTTATTGAGTTCATTAACACCTGTTTAATTGTTATTGCTGCACAAATACCGGTTTTTATTTCTTTTCCACCTACTCACGCTATAACATTGAACCTAGTTATTTTTATATTGAACATATAACTAAGCATAAGTAATAAAGAAGTTTAGTTTTGTATTTGCACGAGAAGAGGCGTAATTTGAACTCTATATGAAATTTGGAGTATGGAGTAAAAATATTTGGAAATTATTTAAAAATATTAAAATAAGAATTATAATTGTATGAACAACGTTTATTATCTCATTTATTATCATCCCCTTCATAAGTCGTATTTTCTACATGTTGGGACTTAATATTAGATGGAACAACGTTTATTTAAAATTTGCAAAAAATTAAGTAGCCGAGAGGAATTTTTGTTTTTGCATTATTGTTATTCTTCTTTTTTTTTGATCCACAATATAGACAAGGTTATTAAATACGTAATTTATAATGTGGGGTAAACAAGGTTATTATACGTTAAACATACTCACATATACTTATATTTTAAATACTTTAATTAATATGTGTAACAGTATGTAAATATATTCAAAGGATTATTGTTATTGTTGTGTTCATAACGAAGTGTTGATGATAAACGAGAATGATAAATGAATGCAACAGTTTTGAAAACATTAAAAAGTATAGGACAAAAACAGATCTAAAGAACTTTAAAATTTTTTTTATATCTATATAAAGCACTAATTTTATTTGATTTATTTTATTCCTCAATCAAATCAGATCATTGACGATTTCATTGAATATAATGAAAGGAAGTGCAGTTTTCGCATAGAATTTCGATTTAAGTATTCCATTTTTAAAAGAAGTGCTGCTTTCTGTGCTTTAGAAATTCAAAAGAGCTTATTTCAATTAACGATCTGAATTTTTAAAATAATTTATAATTGAAACGGATATTTCTACTGCTCAATTTTTAGCTATAACTTGGCTACTCGATAGGAGTTTAAAAGTTTCTCTTAATTTTTTATACTTAAGTATTTGTGTTCGAATTTTCAATATATCAAGTGAGAAACTCTTAAAAGAAATATTAAATAAGTACATCTGGTGATTGGTTATATGCTGACCACATCACATTTTGTAATTGATTATTCAAAAAATAATGAGATATCCTTAATTGAAGGCCTTAGGCATTTATAATTTTTTTTTCTATATACTTATACTTATGGAAAAAATTGCAAAAATCTCAATTTTTTTTATTCTTTAATGAAGAAAACACTTTTAAAGTGGAAAATAACAATATAGATTATTGAAAAGTAATATTATAATCTACAATTTCTGATTTGTTATTTATACATACAAGTATGTCTTTTAAAGATCTTTGTAAATATTGCAATACTTATTCTATATTTTGTAGTTGTGTTTCAGCCTTGTAATTGTTCCAACTCTATTAGGCAACTCAATTTTTGTCCACTGTGTTATAATGTTTGAATATATCTTTCAAAATTTTGAATTTCCTAAGACAACCTCAAAAATTTTACTACGATATGCATGCCTTATTTTATAACAACATTAAGCCGTGACTTTTAAAAGACCTAACATAATGAAAAATTAAAAAAATTATTTATTTTACTTAAATATACATTAACAGTACTTACATTAATATGTACTTAAGAATATTAAATCTCGGCTTGCAGTTGCACGTCAATTACAGTTTAAAGTCTTAATTTAAATAAACACTTGAATGTCTTAAATTAAAATACCCATGGGCCTTTACTTAGTTGAATTTTAACGTTAACTCAACTGACCAATTATTAATTGAGATTTTCGAAAAATCTACTTATATCGTAAATTAATTTTTTACTTATAATTCTACTTATATCGTAAAATAATTCTACTTATATCGTAAAATAATGTGTTGTTCTTTAAGAGAAAATTGAGTAAAATGTTTTGATTTTTGACATATGTATGTAAAAATGGTAATTTTTGCATTTAACTTTTGTTAAAACTCTTTTAGTCCCACGCCCCCTTTTTTTGTTCTTGTCAGAATTCTTAATAGAAAATAATTTTTTTTTTGTTAAAGATTTTTTATAATATTTTTAGAAAATTAAAATATTACTTACCATGTTACAAGCATAGTTATTCCAATTGAGATCGCTGTACACGTTAAAACTTTGGTATTTTTAGACATTTTCGTTTTTTGTTTGCTTTGTTGTTTTCCTTTAATAATTTATTTTTAATAATATTAAAAATTTTTAATTTTAATTTTTTTTTTTAATTTTTCTCTCCTTCTGACCCCCTTTATTTCTTTTTTTTTTTTAATATTTTTTTATTTAAAAAAATATTTATTAATACCACTCTTTGTTTATTAACTTTTTGTACAATAACATTCGATTAAAAATAAATTTTAGTTAAAGAATAAAAAAACGCACACACATAAGGAAAAAAGTTTTCCAAAAATGAAAAAAAAAAAAACAACGTAAAAGGATAAAAATAAATTCTTCTTTTATTTTCTTTTTGATATTTTTAAAATAAATGCGTTGTCTACAAAAAATTTCGACGGAGTTAAAGAACAGTCAGTCAGAACAGTCAGCCAGCCAGAAATTGATGAGTCGTTTTTATTATTTTGATTTTGTATTTTTATCACTTAAAAATCTTTCTCTTTATGCATATAAATTATGTTATTATATTTATTGTATACGTATGTATGTTTGTCTAGTATGCGTGTACATACCCATATGTTTTAAACATATATAAACAAACAAACACCTTCTTTATATGAAATTTTAAATTTTAAATGTGCATTAAAATTTAAAAATTCTAAATCATTTTTTAAAAACCAAAATCTTTTATGATTTATTCGAAATTTTCAACGAAACAAAAAAAAATGAAAATAAAAAATGAAAATAGCACTGCTATTATGTCAAATTAAAAAATATGAAAATAAAGAAAACCGCACATACACGTACACAAACAACCGAATAAAAATAATGAAAAATATTTTTGATTGTTTTTTTTTTACACCCCCCAACTTCTTCTCCTTGTCTTCTTATTCAATTTTTTTTTTCACATTATTTTACGAACAAAATTTCACTTAAGGAAATTTTCTCTCTCAATTAAGGAAAATTTTGTTTTGATTTTATTTCTGTATTTTGTTGTTGTTGTTATTGTTTTTAATGTTGAATATTTTAATTGTTGTTTTTATACATGTGTTTTTTTCTGTTTTCTCTTCTTCCTTTTATTTTTTCACTCACCACCTCAGCACAGCACTATTGTGTGCGATGAAAATATTTTCGAAATAATTTTTTTTTGTTTTTGTTTTTCTTTTTTGTCTTTTGTGTGACAAAAAAATGTGTTTTCTTTGCGGGGGTAAACGGACACTTTTCTTCTTTTGTTTTTATATTTTTCTCTATTTTCTATTTTTATTATTATTGTTATTATTTTTTTTCAGTTTTTGTTCTTTTTTTGTTTTTCAATTATTCATCTGTTCATTAACGTTAACGTTTCTTTTACGTCTCATAACAAAAAAGAAAAATTTTGTTGTGTTGATAGATTTTTGGTTTTTATTTTTTTTTGTCGTTTTTCATTCAATGAAAAATCATTTTTCCATCAAGTTTTTGCTTCACTTTTTGTTGTTGTTGCTGTTTTTTCTGATAAATAAGAAAAGTAAAAAAAAAACAAAAAAAAAACTGTATGAGTATGAGAGAAAGAATAAATTTCGTTGAGACATTGAAAAAAAAAACTACATTTTTATATATAAAAACATGCATACATACTTGATGCACGTATGATAAAAAAGAAATAACGTTGTGAAAAATGTAGTGTTTCAAGCTATTAAAATTTTTTTTATAAAAGTATTGCCAGATTGTATTTAAATACATTCAATTTTTAGCCGGTAGAAAAGAAAGTAAATTCTGCAATTACTACTCGCATGAACATGTATTTTGATTATATTTTGCGAGTAACTAAACTGCTGGGACAATACAAATCAATTGGGTCAACTAAAAGTTAAGACAAAATTTTTTGTAAACAATTACAAAACCAATTAGATGCAATCATAAAGTTGCATATTCAGACTCTTTAACATAATCTAATTGAATAAAAATGAGTAGTCAAACAATAATTGCAAATATACTGTGAGTATTACAGACTATTTACCAAACTATGTATCAGAATATTTTATAATTTTTTACATACATATAATTAATATTTTTGTAGGAGAAAATCAAAATATTCAATTAAAAAACTAAGTAATCCTGTTGGAACATTTTAAAAAATGAAAATTCTGACTTAAAAATAGTTAAGAGAAGTGACTGAAAAAATAAGACTATAAACTTATTTATTAAATTTTTTTAACAAGTAAAATTAACTTGAATGTAGCCCTAGAATTTTTTAAAATAAATGTTTATGTAAAAAATTCCAACTCTAGCCAAAATTATTTAGACGACACAAGACTAAAACCGGCACTATTCTTATTCGTTTGAAATCAAATTTTAGTGATAAATTTTAGAAAAAAAAATACTTTCTTTACGATACGAATGGTTGCAAATCTATAAATTATTTTTTTTATTCTGGCAATACTATGTTAATTTGTCTGATTGTCCAATGTTAAGCATATAACATTAGACTTTGCGCAATAAAATTTTGTAGAAATTCTTAAAAATGTAAGAAAGTTTGCAACATATATTTATATATATACATATATATACGTACATATATATACATATACATATATATATAAGTAGCCGCATATGCAGAAAAAAAATTGCTCATAAAAATGTAATAAGAATCAATGACATAAAAAAAAAAACACAAAAAAAGATTGCGATCAGCAAAACCAAAAGAATTTCTCTAATTTCTTTTTGTTTTACTCAATCTTAGCACTTTTATTTGGTAGTGTTACAAGAACAACTTGTTGAAATAGGTGCTTACTTAGGTAATGTTAAAGAGTAATAAAACGAAAGAAAAAATGACAACAAAAACGGAGAGAAAAAATAAAAGCTAAAGGAAAACCCTTATAATCATGGCACTACTTAGAATTTAATTTAGTTCAAGTTAATCTAACATAAATTTTAAGAAAAAAAACAAAAATCGGAAATTCATAAATTTTGATAGTAAGGTGAAAACAGTGTCAATGAACTGAATCTTTAATTCTACGCTAATCAACATGTCGATAAGCTCTCTTCAATTATTACAAACTTTCATCTCTTTCTATTAGTTTAAAAATCAAGATGAGGTGTAGAATCAAGCAAGATTATCTCATAAGACAATATGATCTACTCATAAATATATTAAATAAATTTATTAATACTATTGTATCATAAGTGCTGTGTCTATGTACATACATACATATTTATGTACAAGCAATTTCCAACAAAACTTGAAAACATCTTATATGTAAAAATAAAATTTTCTCATTTCCTCAGAAAATTTCTGAATGAAATTGAAATCAGTTAACAAGAAATGACGAAGCTCGTTTTTTTTTTTTTTATTGTTTCAATGCCTTACGCATAATAATTCTGAAAGCTTTTGACAAATACATTTTTATGTTAAATCGCCCTGTATATAAGCATGATTACATAAATATTTTCACTTAATCATATGTATATATGAATGTGTGTAAGTTAGTACATTGTATATTGCGTTTTAATATTTAACTTGTTGAAAATAAAAAGAGAATGTGTGTAAACAAAATGTTATGCCAAATTTCAAGAATATTAAAATTGTTATGTACATATGTAGATATTATTATAAAATACATAAATGTGAACCTACATCCTTTATTAAATAAGATTATGATGAGACATAAAGAATAACGCAAATATCACAAATATTTATATTTTATTAGGTACTTATGTATGTATGTATGTTTTTCATGGATTTGAGAAAACAGCATGTTTTTTCGATTTTCTTTTAATCAAAGATTTTATCATTAACGTTTTGTTAAAATAAGAGCATGAGAACTCATGAATAAATTTAATACAAACAATAGAAAGGCATAATCTCTTATTTTATTTAAATCAGCAATCGTGTTCAGTTAATGGCAAATATTCGAAAATTTTAAGATAAAACTAATATTCTAATTTAAAACCAATTTAAGGCAAGAATACAAAAGTCGAGTCGTTGTAGCTCTCTCTAGATATTCTACTCTAAATGAGCAGGCCTCTTATACTGAATACTTCTGCAGGTTGGAAGGTGCATTTTATTTAAAGTATATTAATCATTCCAATTAAATGAACCGTATTCATTTTAATATTTATTCAAAAACAATATCTAATTTGTTATTTTGTAGAATATTTTGCGAAAATTTAAATAAATTGCTTTCGTGCTTAATAATAATGCCGCCTATTTCTCCATTTCTATCTATCTATTTATTTATCTATGCATGTACATACGTATTTGCACTAGTTTTTCCTATGCAATTCAAAGAAAATCTTCTTTCCTTTGTACTTACATCTAGAAATGTTTCTTTCATCTTTTCTGTTTCAAAAATTCTTCGCAATATTTTTTTTTTTCTAATTTGTGTTTTCTATTTTCCCATTCAATTAAAGTTGAAATTACGGAATACAAGAAGTCAAATATTTTAAAATATACAAAAAATTTTCTGAATTAGCCTATGCCAAAAATGAAATAAAAACATAAAATATATTAAATATAGCGTAATTCTAAAAATATAAAATATTTTGTATAGGAACCAAACTGATGTAGGTAAGTAAACGTTTTCGCTTTATCAATATTTTATTGCGATTTTTCAAAATAAACTCCTGTGAATGGATTTTTTTTAATAATTGGAAATATATATAAATATGTAGGTAGTTAGGTAATAAGTACCTATCTTTTTAGTTAAAATAAGTAAGCAATTTCCTACTTAACTTGGTGAGTTTACCTACCTACATACAAAAGAATTATTTTTCTCATCAAATTTTTGATAACAAAAAATTTCCAAAACTTAATTGATAGCTATTTATAAATACATATGGATCTATATGTATGAATACCTAGCCAGCTAGATAAATAGGTATAGGTAGGCAGGTACCTACATAAGAATACAAAATAGATTTTTTTTAAATGTGTATAAAATAGAACGCAATTTGAAAATTTTAAATAGAGTATTTGAATTGGCAAATTCCTTGATATACATATGTACATATATACTAACATATATGCATACCTATATAATTAAAGCAAAATTTTAAAAGAAAGAAATTTTCCTTTACAAAACAAAAAATAAATTTATTAACTCAAGTGAAAATTAAATTGGTAGGTCCAAGTACCTCCTGCATTCACAATTATTATGTGATTAAAATATTCTTCTTCTGACATATTTGACTGATTAAAATGCAAAAATTCACAATTTAGATCAGATTATTTAAACAAAAATTTAATATTTATTGCGCAAAGTCTGTGAACAATTATTTTGTCTTGTTATTCGTGGCTTGTTGGTGTAGGTAACTGTAAATTATCTTCATAGATTGAATGGGTTTTCATTAGAAAAATATAGGAAAAACATTTCTTGATTCAAATACCCATAGAATAAATTTAAAGTTCTCAGGCATAGGTACTGATTTAAAAGGCTGATCTAGATGTATTGTAAGTATGTGAGGAATAAATTCTTACCTCTGCATCTAAAATGTTAAAAAATTAGGTTATAAAATATTTTGATTTGCTCCTCTTTTATGAGAAATTCACTTCCTAGGTATGTAGGTATATTTTACATACCAACATACAAATTTTTTTTTTATATTTCTTTATTCTATTTAATGTAAATTTGTGAAATGTTTATTGAAAACTTTTTTATTATTTGCATTCAATTTTCTAAAATTTCTTTGCTTTGTTTTTCAATTTCGAATATTAAAATTTATTATTATAAAAATTCCTCGATAATTTCTTATTACGCAAAAACAAAATAAAATTTCTACTTTTTTAGACTCGCATTTAATTATTTACCGATATACGATACGACTGTTCAATATAAACTAGCATTTAGCAAGCACACAAAAAAATTTTTTTTATGCTAGAGAAGCTAAACAATTTGTTTTGTTGTTTTTTAATTTTGCACAATTTTTATTTTCTCTTTTTCTTTTCATTTTCAATTTTTCTTTTCAAAAAAAAAAAAAAAAAACTTTTCTTTGTTGCTCAAATATTACAAAAATAAATACATTGCTTTTTTTTCTACTCTTAGAAACTCTCACATTTCTACAATAACAAAAAAACAGTGTCAAAGAAAAATCAAAACAAATATTTTAAGGGGAAAAAAAAAGAATTTTTTTAACGATAAATTTGACATTTGATGAAAAATGTAGGTTGTCTAACTTGTAAATATGATTTGTAATTTTTGATATATTGCGTAATATTTTTAGTGGTACGAATGATTACAATTGTGCTAAAATTACCAAATGTGATAAATAACCAAATGAAAGAAATATGTAGACGTTAGAAGGCTGTAAGTAAGAAAAGTTTTCGGTTCAAAGTTGAAAAACAACTGATTTTAGATTTACGTATTTTTACCGTTCAAAAATTTAGTATTTTCCCGATGTTTATGAAAAATAAGTTTTACTTAATATTACAAACTATTACAATGAATTTAAATTATAATAAAATCTTAAGTATAATAATTGGAAACATTTCGGAAAGTATATAAACAGATGAACATATTCAGTGTGGCAGCACTGACATAACTCAAAATTTGCATTTTTAATAAAAACAAATATTGAAATGTAAAAGTTAATACAATTTTTTCGTCGTAACATTATTGCAAGCATTATATGTTCATTTACATTATTATACAATATTGCAAGTCGTAACATTATATTTTATTGCAAGCAACAACTTTGTACAAAAAAAAAATATTTTAAATTCTTATTTTGTATAAATTACTCAGAAATCGCATTATTTGAGTTATGTAACTGTTGAAGCAAAAAACCGACATATAATTTGTTATAAAGTTAATATGTACTAGCGAAAAATAATTGAGTGGCAATACTTATTTGAAAATAAAAAAAGTTTTCTAATATTAAAATTTATTAGATGGAAAGATTGAAGTTTGATATTAAACTCGTGCAATATTAAGATTCGAATGAAATGAAAACAGATGAAAATTTTGAATAATGTGACACTGAAATTAAACTAATTTAAGAACTTTTAATTCAACAAAATATTGTGGTCGAAATAAATTGAGAATTGATCTAAAAAATGTGAATAAGTTGTGATTTAATTTAAAAACAAAAACACTTGTAAAAAGTACTTTTTAATAGTGCTGAAGTTATAAACGACAAATCGACTTATGTAAACGTATTTGACATTTGACAGCTTTTTTGACCGTTTCATTGTTGTCATATTCACAATATAATATCACATGTAGAACAGCTGTTGTTTTGTTTTTAAATTAATTTCCTCAAGACTATTCCATCTATGTCGTAACTAAGCTGCAAGAAAAAAAATATATTATTACAAAATGAACGTACTCAGGGTCGCTTATTTAGCTGCGAAACCTAAAATATGTTCTTTAAATAACCAAAATTTTCATAAAAACATATTGATAAATTCATATCTAGGATTTAATAAATTCTCTAGTCAGACAACAAAAAATGAAACACGACAAATTAAAGTATATTATGGAAGTTTAACACCTCGGATGAAAGCTGTTAAAGTATTTTCATTAACAACAAGTTTAACTGGTTTATTAGCACAACCCGTATTATTAGAGCAAGGAACTAAAATAGGTTAGTTATCGCCCGAAGATTAAACAATTTGTGAACACCGAAATATAATTACAAAATTTTAGGTGGTACGGGTATGGCAATATTTTTATGTGGTTTTGCTGGATTTTTTACTTTTGTCACACCTTTCCTGTTACATATAATTACAAGAAATTATGTAACGGAGTTATTTTACGATCTCAATAGAGATGAGTATACAGCGAATACTATTTCACTGTTTTTACAAAAATTGGAGGTAACGCAATCATAAATTTTCTTAATATATTTTAAGTACATATCTTGATAACATTCGATATATTTTTTAGACAAAATTTAAAGTTGATGATGTTAAAGTTCCCGAAGTACCTGGAATGTTTACTTCAATACAAGTTGGAAAAACATCACTTTTCTTAGATCCATCTCAGTTTACTGAACCAGATCATTATGTTAGAATAATGGGTTATGACAAGCCAATAGATTTCAAACTTGAATTTAAAGAATTAGATCAACTTAATAAAAAAGAAAGGATTGAGGAAAATAAATAAATTGATAGGAAAAAGTGTACAAGTAAAGTTATTGAAAATTACTTCGTCTTTGATTGATTTTTATATAAATTGGTTTTTGAACAGTTTTTCCTTACATTTTGCAGTCTTGAAAAAAACTGAACGAGTGATTGGTTGCTAATTCAAGTATGTATGCGAGCGGAATAGGTAACAAATAAATGGATATTCATCATTTTATGTTTGAGTAGGAATTTTATGACACTATGCATGTAGACTTGGAAATGAAATGCATGTAGACCTAACGAAATTTATTTAAGGGTCCCAGAGCGTATTAATACAATGATATTTGTGTTCCGAAAGGGAATTCTCGAAAATTTTTAATTTAGATCCTAATGTAAAGTACGTTGGATAAATTAAAACTACGAAATTTTGAAATGTAACATATTCAACAAATCTTTTCTTTAGAAGAATTACGTTCAAAAATCGTGGCATGTTCAAAGTTCTAAAACATTTTTTAAACGCTACGAAAACATAAAATGTGTTTGGAAAAAATTACATAGAAAAATGTAAGACATTAAAAATCTGAAAAAGTAAATTATGTGATGAGTTCCTCGTAGATTTGTAATTATGCAAAAAAAGATTTTTGACATCTAAGTTCCCATTTTAAGTGCATATCTGAATTATCAAAAAACCCCAAATTTAATATACTCTTTGTTTTGTTTGAAATTATTTTTAATATACATAATTTTTTCATACTAATCAGAGAAAATGTAAACTGACCTAGCCTAGAACCGATAAATATTAATTTATCGGTTTCGGCAAGAAAAATATTAAAATTTTTGTGCATAAAACAAAAATTTATTGTTTTTTGTTATTTGGAATGAAATTATCAAGCCTCGCAAACCCTCTTGTATCTACAACTTGTTCATCTTCAATTTTAATTATTTAGTTATAATTATAGGAAAATATTTATGTGAAAGATCGCAGGCCCTAATTTTTAAATAAAGCAATTCAGATTATTGATTTAAAATTCTTTGATGTTGTCCAAATGGTTGTCTGAATCATTCAATCTTTAATAATTAAAATTCGCTAAAAATTTTGTTTTTGTTTTGTATTATTTATTTAATAAAAATATTCTTTTATAATTTAATTGTTTCCGTTAAAATTTCTATAATAAATTTAATTTTTTTTATTTTATTTTGAATTAAAAAAAGATTTTTTTCTAATTGAAATTTTCTACTATTTCAACACAAGCTAAAATAGGAGCAATTCATAAATTTAAAATTAACATTTTTATTCCATTTTTTTTTTTTAATTTTATCATTTTTATTTATTTCATTTTGTAATATTAAAAATTTTTTTAATAATAAAAAAAAAACATATTTCATTTCTTTTATAATTATTTAAAATATTGTGATTTTCGAATTATATAATATATTATTATAATATTATTTATGTTTATTAGTTTATGATAAAAATAGTATATGTATGTAGTATGTATTAATATTTCAATAAAAACTTCAGTGGATGTATGTGCACATTATATAAGATGGGCATATACTTTTTAAAATGTAATTATTATCTCAGTCGATAGTAACTCGAGCTAATAAAATTCCCCGTCTACTAAGCCACAATCTAAAAGAAAAAAGAAAATTATTAATTAATATTAAATATATTTTGAATATAATTTTAAAATTATACCCTAAACCAGCTCCTAATAACAATGATAAAACATTTGTCAATAGTAAAGAATACAATACTTCTTTTGAGAATAATGAATTTTTTCCAACACGTGCTAAACGTATTGAATAATTTCTTGGTTTTCTTTTTGGATTTGCATGTGGGTGTTCGAATTTCCAGTCTCTAAAATTATGAAAAATATCATTATACATTTATTTTAAAATGAAATAGAAAAAAAAAATTTACTTTGGTGGTTGTTGATCTGGTCTACTACTCCATTCCCAAATCCAATCTGTGTCTTTGTGTGCATCTCCATCCTATAAAAATAATAAAAATTTAAAATAGTTAATAAATTAATTGGAAAGATTGAAATAAAAGATGGTTGGTAATTAACTAAATGATATTTTCTAGTAGCCCTGATTTTAAAATTGCAACTAACAAAAAGTTTTCATTAAGAAATCTAAAAAGTTCGATACAATTTAAAAATCAGTGAAAATATGAGTTTTAATATATTAGTAATATTAAATTTAGTCTAGTAGTAATTGAAAATTACCTTATTCCAATAATTGATGTAAACATTTTTTAATTCTTCATCTGGACAATGTTCTGTATTTGGACTGTTTGGTGGTGATTTTGGACTAGAATGTGGTGTATCACGACGTGATGATGATGCTAATGATACTTGAGATGATTGATTTGATTCACGTTGTGCTTCACGTAATAAACGTAAATATTCTTCAGTTGCCGAAAATGGTACACAACGATCTGGACTTTTAAATTGTGGTCCAATTAATGGTGGTGTACTTCTTTGACTACCAGTTGGACTGGCACATAACTCAATCCAAGAATCTAAAAAAAAAAAAATAAAAATAAATTACAATCTCATAACCTATAATTTTTATTAAGATATAGTGGGTGATTAAAATATTATCGGTAACTCAAAAAAATTTAAACAGCTCGAATGCAATTAATTATTATTTATTATCAATTTGTACAATAAGATAAGGAAATTTTTGAAATTTCCAACAATTTTTTTTGCATTATGCTGTTTTTTTTTAAAGTTCGATAAATATTTAACAATACTTTCACTTTGGAGGAAATTAATAATGTTAGTAAATATTTTTGATATTAAGGTACTGATAAATAGGTCATCAATTAGGGGAGATAAGATATTGAAAAATATTTTTTTTATCAGAATAACCCTCATTGTGTTATTATTTAATGTGGGAGGACTCTCAACAAAAAAAAAAATAAACAAACAATTTTTAATGCTTATGGAAGGTAGTAAGTGAATTTTTTTAGCAATTTTTTTAATTGAATTCAACAAATACAATTATGGCAACCCGAACACTTTTTATTCATGAGTAATATGAAAATTCAGAAATTCTAAATTAAACCTAGAACTATAACATAAAATTATTGATTTAATGTGGTGCACCGTATAAGTTTTTAAATGGTAAGGAGTAGCTTAATTATGGAACAATTTCAGAAGTCTTATTAGAACGGATGTTTAGGTGTATTATTAGTCTATTATCGTGAGCCTATTATTATTTTCTGTATTTGGTCGTCTTTGCAGGAAGTTTTGAAATTATCGATGAACTGGCAGCTTTAAATCGGGAAATTTTAGAGAAAGAAAATATTGAATATCTGTTATAACTCTCTCTTCATTTAAATGGTCATAAATTTTTTTATGGGCAATAAAAATATAATATTTCTAATAAGTAATTATACCCAAAATTTTCTTATTAATTTAGATATTCTAAATATTTTTGTATTTATGGACGTGTTTATTATTATCTGTCATGTAATTATAAGAAGATAAGTATCACTTACATAACATATGATATCATTTATAAATCATAGCATGCCTACACACCAATGATTATATTCTGAATATATTTCAAGCGTATATTAGGGTGGATCACAGAAATTGGTTTTGTTAACTTCATTTGTAATTTCTATTAGTAAATTAATTGTATTTAGTACAAAACTCTTAATTTTGTGAGGGCGTATGAAAGTTGAATTAAATAATTAGCCGCCTAAGACGAGTGTTCAAGGGGAGCTTATATAGAATCACCTATTATGTATAATGTTATAATAAAATCGGATATTACAAAGCTCCTATAGTTTTGGAAAGGTTATTTTTTCATTTGTTTACGGCCAGAATATATACAAAAGTATGTAAGTATTTGTAAAATGTTTTTTTTGTTTAATTTAAATCCGCATACAGCTAAGATAAATAAAAATTCGACAAGTTATTTATAATTGTTATAATTTTTATAATAAAATTAATATGTTGATTGCTTTGAAGAATTAGGGAAGATCGAATTCCAGTCACAACTTAAGCTTATAACTCAATTTTGGCATATTCATTATTTATTATAGTTTCATTAGCCCGAGGAATTCTAATATTTTGTAAAATTTTGTTGGACTATACACTCATCGGCCCACTCTAATAATATACATGAGTAAATATTTTTTTTTTGTTAGATTGGTACATAATCATTTGATGATTATAATTTTAATGTATGAATGTATATGTACGTGTATATATCTTCATTATATAATATTGGTCATTTAATCCCAAAATATAAGAATGAGAACATCATAATATTTTTAATCTGTAACACAACAAAGGTGACCATATTATGAAAAGATTTTAAGTAGAACAAGGTCAAAAAATAATAATTACTGTTTCTTTTTTTTTCCATTTTACTATGATATTGACAAAATTTCATAATGCAGCAAAACAATAAATAAAAATTAAATGGAACACACTTGATGCATTAAATATTAAAAAAAAGAAATTAAAAAAAAATGGAGAGGTGGAATAGATTTTTAGATCTTTTAAATTCTTTTCTTGTGAATAAGGAATAATTATGAAAATGAAGGTGGAAACGAAAAATTTTAAAATATTAAATAACTTGGATTTTCGAGATAAAAAATAAATACCAAGGACTAGCACGAATTAGACCGCGAATCGCAAAAGGTCGCGTGGGTAGAGGTGAGAAGCGCCACAATTAACCGGTCCCACGCAAAAAAAAAGCTCATAAGTAAAATTTATTAAATAAAATTTAAAATTTATGCAATAAAATTGATTAATTTATTGTAATACAAAGATTTTTTATATATTTTTAGCGTTCAGTTGTAAAATTTCATTAATAAATGGTGGAAAATGGTGAATTTTTTACCCACGATTGATGTTGGTTTCCAAAGAATTACAAATCGTGCATCAAATTTTAGGGATACTTGTGAAATATATCAAAAAAACTTTAAAATACATGAAAAAAACCAGATTTAATTTACTAACGTATATCGGAAGGAAACTAAATATCGTTCTGATATATGTATATCGTAACTAGTGTTGCCATATACCCAATACTTATACAATTAGGAACTAAATACGTTGATTTTTAAAGAATTTATTGCTAATTCATTCCACCACAGTAATGAATTTCACCTTGCTTACAATATCCATAAAATATTCATTTAAAATTTTGAAAAATAAAAATTTTTGTTTTGAAGAACAAAAATTTCAATTAATTTTTTGACAATTTCCCTTTCTACTATCACTTTCTTTAACATTGACATTATAACAGCAACCATTATTTAATTTTCTTTTGGCTAAATATTCTCTTGCTTAAATTTCTTGCTAGTTCATATCTTTCTCAAAAGAGCAAAAATAATCAATTTTAAACTTAAAGTAAATAAACTAAAACTAGAATAGATCAACTTGAAGTTTTTTTTTGCCGGCGTATCATTAAAGTTCAGCGGATTTACTATATTTATTTTCCTATTCTTATTTAATTTTCAAAATACTTTGAATATATTTAATTTCTTATCTCTTTCAAGGCAAACGATAATATTTTAATTATAAAATTAACAAGTCAGCGATTTTATTTCCTTTGTATTTGAATCTACATACAACATTTTAATACTTGAATTTTAATTTGCTTTTTTGTTATTTTAAGAAGTAGATATAGAGAAAATAGAATGAAAGGAAAAAAAAAGTTTATTATCAAGGGTATTTATATATATATTTAATTAATTAATATTGTACTTATTTGTTTGTACTAAAGTTAGGGCGCTTAATTTGCGTCTTTATTATTACTGTTGTTATTAAAATTTTCTAAGTATAAGTATGAGAAAATAATTTCATTTCAATGAAATGATTAACATTTGAAATTTGATATAAAAATGAAAAATTTAATATAAAATTAAATATAATGAGCACATAATAAATATGGTGTGAAAATATTAAATTTGAATTACAAACAATTCTTAAATATTAAATTATTTGCTTTAAATCGGAACATACCAGTTTTTATATATATGCACAAATACTTAAGTAATTTAATGTAAAAAGAGAACTGCGGAGAAAAGAATAATTTGAATTACAAAAAATTAAATTTATAATATATGGCAATGACGTGTTTAAATAACAAAGTAAAATTGTTTTCTTGTGAATTATGAAAGATTAAATTAAAAAATAAAAATTTTTAATTCTATTAAGCTTATAAAAGATTTTGAAATAATTGAGTTTTTATTTTATATTCAGAATCTTATACTGCGACATTAATAGTGCCTACATATGGGAAATAGTTGAAATATTTTTGTAAATTTTATTAAAAAAAATACAAAATTTAAATAGAAAAATAAATAGAAATTAAAAACAATTAAATCCAGAACATTGTTGAGCAACTGATTTGTATTTTTAAAAAACCAATTTATGCCCTGGTTTGGTTTGCACCGTTTCAGTAAATTAAAAATTGCAATTTCTATTTATACTCCAAAATTGAGAGATTGAAGTAAGATACGAGAGATTGAAGTATAATACTATCGAATGTCATTTATGAATACTGTTATATTACTCTTTTAGAAATTACATATGTTGCGTTCGATTGCGGACAAATAAATTGAATTAATTCGCATATTTTAATGGCAAATACCAAAACATTTTCTTTTAAACAGTCAATTTCATTCAGTGGTTTCATCTACTGACTTCTACTGTTTCGGTGTCACTATAGTCTTGCTATTAAAGAAAACTCATTTGTAATTATAAAAAAATGTACAATGGCACGCTACTACTCAATCGTTTTGCCTCCTGGTTACAATATTAAAAAATTTATGATATATTTTAATTATTACACGTATATTTTTGACAAAACAGTGGCACTTATACGTATAAGTAGTATAAAGTTAAACACACTGCTAAAAGAGAATTACCTAAAAATTCATTTATTCATTAAATTGAAATTAGTAACCTAGTAACTTGAAAAACATTTTTGATTAATAATTAAGGTACATGTTTTTTATAATTGGGGCCACAAAGTACACAATCTACACAAAAATATATATGTATAATTAGATCAACATATGGCATACAATACACGTGTCTTTGTTCAAGATAATTTTGCTCACATTATGATTGAATAATCACAGTTTTCATAAATTATATAGAAAAAAAATAGATAATCTATTTTTATTATTTTTCATAAAAAAAAAAAACTGATGTCAACATTTCACATTGTATTTGAGAATAAAAAATAAACATGTTATTTATAAACAGGTTTAAAATTTGAATAATTTGATGAATTCAAAACAAAAAAATTTGGTCAAGTTACGAGTATCAATAATTTATAAAGAGTATCAAGATACAAAATTAATTTTTGTAGCATGAAGTAAGATTTCCACTTTATAATTCAAAAATAAATTATTGAATTTTTTAAAATGTGACTTGATTCCACACACAATTGTGTAAGACTCATTGAAATAAAATTATTTTTGTCATTATTAAGCAAATTTAATAAGATAAATAATTTCAACTATTTGGTAATATAAATACAAGT